AAGAGGGGAAGGGGCAGGAGACGGAAGGAGCAGGAAACTGCACGAGTAGAACGAGATGGGAGGCACAGACGGGGCGAAGTGCATCATTTCTCAGGAGCTCAGAGGATAGGAGGCGTAGGAAGGAGGAAGGAGGTAGTGTGAATGAAGCGGAAGGAAACACTGGGACTAAGAAGTGGGCAGATAAGCGCGTGAACGTAAGAGAGGCCTATGATGACACGAGTAAATCCGTCAAGATGGTAACGACAGGAGAGGGGATTGGGGGAAGGGGGCTAACGGGCAGCGGGGCGAGACAAAGTGTTCAGCACGGGCAAGACAGCTGACGAGAGAGTCACACAGAGGAACGGTTGTTGTTGAGTCGGACTCAAAAACAGGCCAAGTGCTTAGCACGGGTAAGAGAGCTGAGCTGACAAGAGAGTCAGGCTGAGGAACGGTTGGCTAGGACCCAGGCGTGGAGGAGAGGTGAGAGTGGCGAACAGCAGGGCGCACGTGATAATCAAAGAGGAAACGCGTTCAGGTGAGGGGAGCAGCATAGAGCGTCTGGTAATCTAGTGGGCGGCGGTTCGAATCCTTCTAAGTCTTCGCATCGTACCTTGAGTGCCAGCCGCGAGCTCGCAGGCGCGAGCGTGGCACTTTCGCCAGGGGCAGGGCGGCGAGCCGAGAGCAATCGAGAAAAGAAGGCAGAAGGGAATTGGCGAGGAAGGGACCAGGAGGAAAATGAATCACCGTGCAGTTGGAAATCGTTAGGCTTAATGGAGAAGGGCGAGGAAGGCACGGAGGGGCTGAGGGGATGCAGTGTTGCGATGCGGCTCCCACAGGGAGAGTGGCACTCGCCTCACGACACCCATCATCTCTCGCCCTTCAACCGCGGCCGCCGCGGCATCGCCGCTTCCCATCTCGCACGCGGCCTCGAGCCGCCTCCGAATAGCATCGTAAGAACGAATCTTCTCGAGGAGGGGATGACACTAGGGCGCGATGCGGCGTGCCGCATAGCGGCGCCCACTTCGCGGCACCCGTCTCTCGCACGCGCCCTTCTCTCACGGCGGCCGCGCTTCTGTTCGCTCGCCTGTATCCCACGCGCTGGCAAACGCCGGCATGTTTGCGTGTCTGTACTGGACTGATCGCAACTGCCGCCACCTGGCTCACCCCGCCGCCACTTGGCGGAGGAACGCCGACTTTCGAAAACGACACTTCCCCATCTCTCTCTTCCCGCGTCCCCGGATTAGCCATCGACCATTAGCGCACTGCCATCATGAGTCGCCTCCGACTCGGCCTAGCATCTCCAGAACAGATCTTCCCCTATCAGCCACGTGGCGTTCAATGCCTGGTGACGGTGCTCGTTCCCGCAAGCGCAGAGAGCAATGCTGGCGGTGCTGTGCTGAACCTTCACACTACAACAATAACTCGATTATGTTTGAAAGGCGTTCGCGGCTAAAACCAGCCCAATTTGCCAGGGCGACTCGGCTTTCTGACACGCGGTACCATGCGCAGCGTGGCTTTAAGGGATGAGATTGGGAGGCTTCAGGCATGACAGCCTTCTCGAGGCGACGATGCATTTTCATTTTGCTGGAAGTCTGCATCTGAAGCTCTGCGGATGCACTACTTCGATAGTGAGTAAAGAGTGCTTGTTTAGATAAGGAGTCTTTGTTTAACTACAGAAAATTTACTATGAGGTATATAAGGAAATGACGGGGAGGGGGGAGGGGGAAAGGATGTCACTAAAGCTTGCCTTGGTGAAAGAAAACGCTATTTTGTGGGCAAAATTGGATTACAATACAGAGGACTAACATACATCCTAATATATATGATATACCGTACACCCCAGGCAATGCACGCCTTCCCCATGAATCAGAATACACGTCTTTGGCTTTCTAATAGATGCAAGGCACGAATTGACTGCGCACTTCAACTACAGAATCAGACAACTCCCAACAGGCCCACGGTCGCCGCCACCAACAATCCCTGCACAGGAGCTGTTACACTTACGAGAGCTGACAGATCTCAACAACAGGCCCGGCATAGCCGACCCCACCAATCCCCGCACTTGAGTCGACTCAAAAGCAAATGCAAGGCAGACATTGGCTGCAAGCTTCAATCACGAGGGCAGGCAGATCTCAACAACAGGGTCGCCACTGCTGCCACCGAGAGTCCCCGCACACGGGTCGTTGTACTTCTCATACAGCTCCCTGCTCCCTCCCACTGCCCAAAATTAACTACCAAGCACTCCCAGCTCTCTGCTTCCTCTGATTGTCCAACCCTAATCACGGGGGCAGACAAATCTCAACGGGCTCACTAGTGCTGCCACCGAGAGTCCCCGCACACGGGTCGTTGTACTTCTCATACAGCTTCGTGCTTCGTTTGAAATACCTGTTGATGATGCCGCTGCATGGTGCCGCTGCTTTGAACTTCTTTGATACTCCCATGTCGCATTGACCATAAAGACCAACCGGCAGGGCCTCGGTACATATCTTGGGCCACCGAGCCTGCACATTTGCGGATGCCCGCATGTTAGAAAGAAGTTTGACTCACTCAGAACACTTGAAGTGGACAACAAATATGTATGTGAAACGGAGGGATTGAAAGGCATGTATCAGGCAGGCTGTGATTGAGATGCGGAGAGATGGCGCTGCATGGTCAACAACAAAATAGGAAGCAATTCTTCCGATAACAAACCGGCAATGCTCAGCCTCCTCTGACTCACCCCCAGACTGGCAGTTAGTGAGGTGTAGCACACTCACCTCCCGATTGGCAGTTAGTGAGCTGTAGCACACTCACCTCCCGATTGGCAGTTAGTGAGCTGTAGCACACTCACCTCCCGATTGGCAGTTAGTGAGGTGTAGCACACTCACCTCCCGATTGGCAGTTAGTGAGGTGTAGCACACTCACCTCCCGATTGGCAGTTAGTGAGGTGTAGCACACGAGCCCTGGGTTCAGCCGGTAGAGCTCCAGCGAGGAAGAGAACTCAAAGTCGTTCACCACCTGCGCACAGCTGCTCGTGCCGCTGACCGAGTACACTGTATTGCAGTACTCTCCACTTCCGTCATCCGCCCCATCTTCCCGCTCGATGCAGAGGGAGCGTGACGGGGGCAGGGGTGAGGAGCAGTGAACGCCGGGGTTGAGGCTCTCGAGGGATAGGGAGGCGATGGCGAGACACGCTGCCACTGACTCGCATGTGTCGCCCTGCTTGGGGATGGGGAGGAGTAAGGGTGGCGGAGCAGAGAGGTGGGAGTGGCGAGGAGCAGTTAAAGCCGGGGTTGAGCTGCTGCAGAGATTGGAAGGAGATGCCGAGAGATGCTGCCACTGACTCACTGACTCGCATGTGTCGCCCTGCTTGGGGATAAGCAACAACAGCATGACACAACAACCGAGATACAGAGACAGCAGCTACACCTGCTGTCACATAGCACACGACAGGGTGCAAGGGAGGCGAGTTACCAGTTGAATGTAGTAGCAGAGAGAGCAAGAGGAAGGCCCTTGCAAGGTAGTTACCTTGTGAATGTAGTGGAAGACAGAGCAGGAGAGAGGCTCTTGCAAGGGAGGCGAGTCACCTTCTGAATGTAGTAGAAGACAGAGCAGGAGGTCAAGTCGTCCCTCTCAGTCACGTTGAGAGTTTGACCCCGGGTGAGGGCAGTCGAGCAGTCCACGGCCTGCCAGCCGGCACAGCCACACAGCAAGGTGAGCGGCAGTGACAGTATAAGAGTACCCCACACGGAAGGGTGAACAGCCGGTCTCGAAGATCACGAGTACCTCTGATTTCAAAAGAATTTGCAGGCACAGGATGTATTGGGATGTACTTTTGAACAAGCCCTCACATTGTTCTGTGCAGTGAACTCGTCTAGCGTGAGTCCATAAAGAGGATAGACGTCCTCGCACCTCCAGTTGTCTCCTTGCACCTTGAGCGTTGGAGAAGACGACCCTGTGCCATTGACAATGAGGATACGGACCAAAGACAAGGGGGATATCATGTGCACACAGACACGGAGGATGTCATGTGCACACAGACACGGAGGATGTCATGTGCAGGGGCAAGGCGAGTGACAATGATGCAACGCCAGTGGAAAAGAGCACACAGAATCTTGCATCAAGGAATCTTTGAGTGGACTAAAAAAATCGACTTATCAGACTCTTGCGTTAGGAAACTGTACAGTCTGGAGAAGGAATTTAACTCTCACTTGCTCTAATGCACCATTTTGGTAATTATATAGCAAAACCAGATTGTTAACTGTCTCTCATACATAGTGACAAAAGGTGTCAGAGCCAAGGCAGACCGAGCCAAGAATGTGAATAGAGAGGGGCAGAGAGCATACCGTAATCACAGGTGGGGTATCCGTTGCTTTTGGACGGGACGCGATTGGGCGGGCAGACACAGGAGTAGGAGCCGGGGCCACCACTGATGCAGGAGCCATACTTGCAGGGATTCCTGGTGCTGTTGCCACACACATCCGCTGGTGGAGGTGGCGGGGGGAGGAAGCAGTTTGATTTCTGACGCGCCTCAAGAATAGATTACATGCAGACACAGGAGTAGGAGCCGGGGCCAGCGCTGATGCACGAGCCATCCTTGCAGGGGTTGCGCGTGCTGCTGCCACACATCCTCTGGTGGGGGTTGTGGGTGTGGCGGGGGGGGGGGGAAACAGTTTCACTTCAGAGGCGCCGTTGGAATACAACCCACCTCACAGAATTACGAGTACTGCTGCCACACGCATCCGCTGGTGGGGTTGTGGTTGGGGGGAGAGGCGACAGGTTTAAGAATACGGCCCGCCTTGCAGGGGTTCCGAGTGCTACTGCCACGCACATCCGCTGGTGGGGGTGGCAGAGGGAGGGAAGGGGAGGGGGGGCGGGATGGGGGGAAACAGTTTCTTTTTTTAGGCGCCTCAAGAACCAAGCTGTGTGAAAGGCAGGCAGAGGACTAGGTGCCATAGATGCACAGAGAGCGTTTCTAATGTGCAGGGTCGCAAAACACAAGGACAACAACACAAACAATGTAAGCGGGAGGAAATGCTTACGATCTGTTGGTGAGGGTGCAGGTGGAAGGTCATCATCCGTCGTATCAACGGGCTCAAGAAGAGAGTCGTCGAGTTCCGAGGTCGCATTGCACCTGCATTCCGCGGGGCATGCCTGGCAGATGTCCTCTGGAGCACCGGCAGTGAGGGGTTGGGAGGGGGGGAGGAGAGAGGGAGTGGAGGAGTGAGGCAGACAGCACACTGGGGCGAGGAAATTTGAGGAGATGAGTGGAAGAGAGGAGAGGAGAGACGAGAATTGAGCAGAGCAGCACAGAGGAGAGGAGGGTAACAGGTGACAAAGAGAAGGGAAGATGAGAAGAGAGAAGGGGGACGAAAGGAGTGCTGGGGGGCGGGAGGGAGAGAGACCAGCACAGCACGCACCAACGATGCAGGGAGGGAGCAGGGAGCAGGCGAGCAGGAAAGTAGGCAAACAGGAAATTAGGCAAACAGGGAAGCAGAGTAACAGGGATGATACCTCATCGCTGACTGCTCTGCATCAGAGTGTATACTGGCGCTCCCTGCACTGCAGTGATATACCATGGACTGCTAAGGCTTGCTCAACGCAAGGAGGACCATCCAGAGTCTCGAATGTAACATGCAGCGAGAAGGCTCTTGCACCTGCACATGCTCACCGTCTGATGGCGAGAAGGCTCTTGCACCTGCACATGCTCACCGTCTGATGGCGAGAAGGCTCTTGCACCTGCACATGCTCACCGTCTGATGGCGAGAAGGCTCTTGCACCTGCACATGCTCACCGTCTGATGGCGAGAAGGCTCTTGCACCTGCACATGCTCACCGTCTGATGGCGAGAAGGCTCTTGCACCTGCACATGCTCACCGTCTGATGGCGAGAAGGCTCTTGCACCTGCACATGCTCACCGTCTGATGGCGAGAAGGCTCTTGCACCTGCACATGCTCACCGTCTGATGGCGAGAAGGCTCTTGCACCTGCACATGCTCACCGTCTGATGGCGAGAAGGCTCTTGCACCTGCACATGCTCACCGTCTGATGGCGAGAAGGCTCTTGCACCTGCACATGCTCACCGTCTGATGGCGAGAAGGCTCTTGCACCTGCACATGCTCACCGTCTGATGGCGAGAAGGCTCTTGCACCTGCACATGCTCACCGTCTGATGGCGAGAAGGCTCTTGCACCTGCACATGCTCACCGTCTGATGGCGAGAAGGCTCTTGCACCTGCACATGCTCACCGTCTGATGGCGAGAAGGCTCTTGCACCTGCACATGCTCACCGTCTGATGGCGAGAAGGCTCTTGCACCTGCACATGCTCACCGTCTGATGGCGAGAAGGCTCTTGCACCTGCACATGCTCACCGTCTGATGGCGAGAAGGCTCTTGCACCTGCACATGCTCACCGTCTGATGGCGAGAAGGCTCTTGCACCTGCACATGCTCACCGTCTGATGGCGAGAAGGCTCTTGCACCTGCACATGCTCACCGTCTGATGGCGAGAAGGCTCTTGCACCTGCACATGCTCACCGTCTGATGGCAAGAAGGCTCTTGCACCTGCACATGCTCACCGTCTGATGGCGAGAAGGCTCTTGCACCTGCACATGCTCACCGTCTGATGGCGAGAAGGCTCTTGCACCTGCACATGCTCACCGTCTGATGGCGAGAAGGCTCTTGCACCTGCACATGCTCACCGTCTGATGGCGAGGGTTCGGAAGGAAGATAAGCCGGAAGGTCATCCTTGTGATATAAGTTGAGTTTTGATGACAAAACATTCTCAGAGTATTCTTACCCTCTGACGGTGAGAATGTTCTGAGATACTCTGGTCTGGACATTCTGAGAATGTTCGTCTCGGAACATTCTCACTGTCTGATGGTGAGGGTTCGGAAGGAAGATAAACTGGAGGGTAATCCTCCATAGATTATAATAAGCCACCCAGTGAATCAATGGGTTCAGTGGAGAGTCATTGCCTTCCGATTTTTTAGGATTCTCAGAGAATGGCTCTTGCACTTGCGCATGCTCACCGTCTGATGGCGGGGGTTCGAATGGAACATCATCCTCCAGAGAATCCAATGAGCCACCTGGTGAATCGATGCACTCAGGTGGACAGGTTGCCTTCCGATTTCTTGAGTTTTTGAAGATCGCTTTTGCGCTTGCGCATGCTTACCGTCTGCTGGCAAGGGTTCAGCCGGAAAGTCATCCTCCATGAAATCCAATGAGCCACCCAGTGAATCAATGGATTCAGGTGGCGAGTCGCTGCCTTCCGAGGCTGCGTCACACCTGCATTCCGCGGGGCACGCCTGGCAGATGTCCTCTGGCGCACCGGCAGTGAGTGCTGGGGGGAATTTGGGGGGGAGGGGAGAGGGAGGGGGAAATGAGGCACACTGCATGCCCACAGATGTCCTCGGGAGCACCGGCAGTGAGGGGTTGGGAGGGGCAGAGGGGAGAGGGTGGGGAGGAGTGAGGCACACAGTGGGGAGATTAGTGCTGAGGATGGGAGTAGAAAAGAGGAGAGGAGAGGCGAGAGGAGAGCAGAGGAGAACAGAAGAGAGAAGGGAGACGGATAACAGAGAGGAGAGAAGATGAGAAAAGAGCAGGGGGGCGAAAGGAGTGCTCTAGGCGGAAGGGAGAGAGACCAGCACAACACGCAACATTCGTGTAGTTGAGCAGGGAAGCAGGGGAGGAGCGGAACAGGGGAGCAGGGTTCTTGCACATGCTTACGGTTTGTTGGCGCGGGTATGGGTTGAGCTGGAGGGTTTGTTGGCGCGGGTATGGGTTGAGCTGGAGGGTTTGTTGGCGCGGGTATGGGTTGAGCTGGAGGGTTTGTTGGCGCGGGTATGGGTTGAGCTGGAGGGTTTGTTGGCGCGGGTATGGGTTGAGCTGGAGGGTTTGTTGGCGCGGGTATGGGTTGAGCTGGAGGGTTTGTTGGCGCGGGTATGGGTTGAGCTGGAGGGTTTGTTGGCGCGGGTATGGGTTGAGCTGGAAGGTTTGTTGGTGCGCGTTTGGATTGAGCTGGAGGGTTTGTTAGCGAGGGTGAGGAGAGGAGAGGAGAGGAAAGGAGAGGGAGGAGAGGAGAATGGGAAAGAGGAGAAGTGGGGAGGAGACGAGCTAAGTGTTGAGTTTGGCAAAGGCTACTAATGAAAAGGAATGTGCAAGAGAGAAAGGAGAGTAAAAGGAATTGCGAAGAACAGCAGAGAGGAGAGAAAGAAGGAGAGGGAAGGGATGGGGAGGGAACGGAAGGGAAGGGAAGGAAAAAAAAGAAGGAAGGGAAATGAAGGGACAAAACGAGAAGATTTGAGAAGAGACGACATGGAGAAATGGAGAGGGAAGAATGGAACCGAAGGAATGCAGAAGGAGGGAGATGGAGAGGGAGAGCAGCAGTGGACGCACCAATGATGCAGCGCACGGACTTCAGCGGCTTGGCAATCTTCCTCGCCCTGCTTCACGCACACAGACGCACAGGCCCGCCCCAAGGCACAGATGCAATGGGCCGTGAGTGAAAGATAAAGGGAGCATGATTGAGAACAGCCAACTGTGGTCCCTATATGAAGACGTTGAAGGTGAAGTAGTAGGGAAAGGAGAAGAAGCGAAGCAGGGAAGCAGGGAAGAAGGGAAGCAGGGAAGCAGGGAAGCAGGGAAGCAGGGAAGCAGGGAAGCAGGGAAGCAGGCAAGCAGGGAAGCAGGGAAGCAGGGAAGCAGAGAAGCAAGGCTTGTGAGCTGCAGGCGCGAGCTCACCGCTGCCTGCCGTGCAGCAGAGAGTCCACGGGCGTTCCCTTGCACCCGGGCTTGGAAAACAACCGAATCTCGCTACACGCAGCAGGTGCGCCTGCCGGCGTCCACGCCACCTGCACCTTCTTGCTGCCGCCGCGACGGGAGCTCTTGGCCGGAATGTCGACGCAGCGCAGCGAGTTGAAGGTGATGGCGCGGCCGTTGATGCTCACCCGCGTGCCCAGGGTATTGGGTGCCGCGCCAGTGGCTGCTCCTGTATTAGTGAAGGGAATGGGAAAGTTTAGGAGATTGGGAGAATGGGAGCATTGGAGCATGGGAAAGAGCATGGGAGCATGCAAGAATTGGATTATGGAGCGAAGGGGGATGCCATGGGAGCATGTAAGAGCATCAGCTTATGTGGGCTTGAAGTGTGAGAGCATGAAAGTATGAGAGAATGGGAGCATGGGCGGATGAAAGCATGAGAGAATGGGAACATGGGTGCATGAAAGCATGGAGTCATTGAGAGTTGAGCATGAGAGTACGAGAGAAAGGGAGCACGGGAGCAAGGAGCACGGGGGTATGTGAGAATGGGAGCAGGTAGCAGAGGCGCACCAGCGGCGATGGCGAGGATGAGGAGCAGCGCAACCAGCGCAATGACGGCATGAACACTCCCGCCGCCCGCCATTGTGCCGTGCAGCTGGCGGCCACGCGCGTACTAGGGAAAGAAGATATGGCGGGCGATGTTATGGGTGGCGAGTCCCGCGCAGGTGATGCGGTTTGAGGATCCCCCACTCGAGTACTAGAGATGGTTGCGGAGCAGAGGGGATTGCGGAGCAAAGGGGATTGCGGAGCAGAGGGGATTGCGGAGCAAAGGGGATTGCGGAGCAGAGGGGATTGCGGAGCAGAGGGGATTGCGGAGCAAAGGGGATTGCGGAGCAGAGGGGATTGCGGAGCAGAGGGGATTGCGGAGCAGAGGGGATTGCGGAGCAGAGGGGATTGCGGAGCAAAGGGGATTGCGGAGCAGAGGGGATTGCGGAGCAGACTACGATGGGCTGCTGAGAATGTGGAATAGCGGACGGTCTCAAAAGCTCGAGAGAGCACGGCGGCTAGACTCATACGCGGTAGGGGAAAGAGGACGAGATGTACTCGTGGCGCCGTGGGGGTGTCGGGCAAGAGAGGGAGTAAAGAACTGAGTGCGGATTAGACTACAGCACGTAAGATTATCATCACTTGTACATGAGTGTGACAGCCTGCTGCTACCAGTGTCCCGACGACTGCAGACTCCGTCGATTTCCAGTTCAACAACGTTGCAACTCCGATTTGCGGGAAATGGCTCAGCTCCTGCCATGGATCTCCGTAACTGCTCACTCGCCTTCCCTGACACGCCCGTCCACCCCGACCAGAGGCGAAATGCCTACTGGTACCACGACTACTGCTAGTCCAAGCACAAGCGGGAACGCGGTCAGCGGCGTCGCCATCGTCGCCGCAAGGAGCGGAGAGTGCGCGCTCTTGCGACTTGCAACCTGCGCCGAGCGACGGCCTCGGCGCCGTGTGAGGCGGGCGATGAGAACGCGTTCTGAACCCTAAAGAGTCCCATCAACCCCACTGGGTTGGTATTCGGGATGCCGCGAATTACTCGTAGTGAATTATTCGTGGCACCACCGCAAGAAGCGGAGTCAAACAACGGAGGAAGAATGAGGGATGACTCGCAGCGGTGGAATAAATTTGTGGTGAACCTGAAAACCGACTGGCTGGTGTTTTCAATCGCGTCGCGTTCTGCCCCAATCAACCAATCAGGCGGCATTAGTTCAATGGGAGAACGGCTATGATGGAGCCTGTTACGCTGAACGCGTTCTGGGCAATGAAGGATGCGGATACTCACAAACAACAGCTTCGTTAAGGCGTAGAATCATGTGAAAGGAGGATGATTCCATAGGGTCAACGTTACAAAGCAGGATATCATATGATTTTCGTGGTAGCTCGTAGCCAACTTTCTCCCTATCATGTACTGAACTGAACAAATTCCTTTCGCCTGCCTCGCCACATTCGCCACGGGCCACCTTACCACAAGAATTGGAAGTGTTTCAGATCCCCGCTCGGGCAGGCGGGCCTTCCATCGTGGTCATGTGTGATCAAGTGCTATGGAGTACGTTAATAAGGTATTTAGCGATTAGCGGACAGGACAAAGGTTGGGTGGAACGTTTGTGTGTTGTTTGGGCCTCGTTGCTCCGCGTTCCACGGAATTCGCGAATTTGCTTATTGAAGCTGATCCGCCCTTCGAAAATGGTTACCATTGATAGAGTTTTGGAAATCCTGTTTGAGCAGCAGATTTCGCGATTCGAAGAACGCGTTCGTCAATCGAATCGTCTTGGCTTACTTTCCGGAAACATAGGAGCAGTAGCGTGTCAGATCTAAGCATTTGGCCGAATTATTGTCGAAAACAAGGACTCGCCATTGTTCGCGAGAGGTCAGACGACGTTCGCAAATGAAACTTTGGCTACATTCGGCCCGTCAAAACTTTGGCCCTACAAATCTAGCTCGCCCTAAGCTTATTGCAGAAAGTCACGAAATCTTTCCTTGTTGGCAGCAGCTCATCCTGCGGAAACAACTTGTTTCGACTCTGTGAAGTCTCCTATTACGATTCGTCTACGTCATTAGTCTTTATCTCAGCCCCTCGAATAGGAAAGATAGCACATTCCAATCGCCAGACATTCCGCGCATCGAAAAGGCTCGTTTTTCTCCAGTACTCCAAGCACCAATAAAACGCGGGCCTCCGCCCGACCCTGCGTGGACATTGCAGAAGAAATTAGCAGTCACGACCGGGCACAACGCTCTTTTCGAATTCGAAAACGACCCCTTTAAGCCATTCTTGATCAAGGTGGAGAGCCGTTGATGCCGACGCGCTCGGCCGTTTGATTCCGGTACTCTCCTTTCACGGCATCATTTGTGTCGGGAGCGCAGCGCCAGATGTCGATGCCGGAGCTAGCATCTACTCTGTACGAGGCGCCTCTTAAGCCGCACCGCCAGATGTCGATGCCCGCGATCGTGACAGTGGCGAGGCGGCGACGCGGGACGGCGAGCGCTTCGTCACCATCTCCTTCTGCGACCGCCGGTACTGCTGGCCCAGGGCTGCTTCTGCCATGCCATGGTGACTGCGCTGTGCGGTACATCATGCTAATTATGGTGGTGAACTGTGTGATGAGATCGCTGTGGTTCAAAAATGACAAAAAAAAACTCCGTTGACGATTCGCGATTACGTGATAAGCCTGCTGGAAGCTATTTTGATATGGCAGGCTATGCTAACGGGTCCAAACTGACTAACCTTAGAACCTTCACATTCCTAACACCCCTCTCATTCCGCCCGAATGCCTCCCATTCCACCCGCACGGCCCCGAGTCACCCCGTCCACCCCACATTCCCCGCCATCCCATCCGCCTGCCTGTCTGGTTCCCCTATGCGCCCCCACCCACCATCCCATGATCCCTCTGCCTGCCTGTCTGGTTTCCCATGCGCGCGGCAGCATGGCGGTGCGGGCAGCAGGGCGCGCTGACGGCGGCGCTGCTGGCGGCGGTGGCTGTCGCGGGCTGCGTGGCCTTCCTGCACCTCGCCTCGCACCGACGTATAGACGCGCTGCTGCAGGTACGACGCCTTGAATTGCCTTGAATCGCCTGAATCGCTCCTTCCCACACACATTTCTCACACATGGCCTTCCTGCACCTCGCCTCGCACCGCCGCATGGACGCGCTGCTGCAGGTATGGCGCCTCCCGTCCTCCCTGCTCCAAGAAACGCTCCTCCCCTTACACAAACTCCCCTCACACACACTCCCTTGCTTCTGTGCAATGCCCCTCCCTCCGCTGGCATCCGACCGAGGGCGTGCATCACTCCACTCACTCACACTCTCCTCCACCTCGCCGTGCACCGCCGCATGGATGTTGCTGGGGCACTGGGATGTCGTAGCCAATGGCAGAGCACACATGCATGCATAAACCCAAACAGCATAGCACACATCCGTACTTAAAACCCAACGGCAGAGCACGCATGCATGCATAACTCCGAACGGCAGAGCACACATGCATGCATAAACCTCAACGGCAGAATACACATGCTTGCTTAAACCCCAACGGCAGAGCACACATGCATGCATAAACCCCAACGGCAGAGCACACGTGCATGCATAAACCCCACCAGCAGACCACACATGCATGCATAAACCCCAACATTAGACCGCACGTGCATGCATAAACCCCAACATTAGACCGCACGTGCATGCATAAACCCCAACATGAGACCGCACGTGCATGCATAAACCCCAACCGTCTCTCCTTTCTTTGATTCTTGTTCACCATGTGCTCCTATCCCCTCATCCCCCCACCATGTGCTCTCATCCCTTTATCCCCCCCCACCTGTCCCCATCCCTCTCCACCTGTACCCATCCCTCCCCACCCGTGCCCATCTATCCCTCCCCACGTGTGCATCAGCAACTGCAAGCCCTGCAGCCCTTTGGACTAGCGGGTGCCTCCCTGGCAAGTGCTGCCATGGCAGGCGACATTCAGGCGAGTTTCCTGCACGCAGCTGCCATGCAAGGAGCAGCGCTGCAGAGCTTCCGGAGTGTCGGCAGCAGAGGGGGGGGAGACAGCAGCGGTAGCACCAACAGTGACAACATCAGCGCCACACACACACGGCAGGCGATTGTGAGAGTCTTGTTTTTTCTTTCATGCACATCGAAGAATACTGTGCTTCCGTTTGACGAATTGCCCCGTTTGAAACGTGCTGCTCAAAGGATCTGGTACCAGATTTTCTGAAACGTGCCATCCAAAGGATTTCCATCTTTTAAGGCGCCTATTTTGAGGCGCCTCTTTTGAGGAGTCTACTTTTGAGGCGCCTCTTTTGAGGCGCCTCTTTTGAGGAGTCTACTTTTGAGGCGCCTCTTTTGAGGCGCCTCTTTTGAGGAGTCTACTTTTGAGGCGCCTCTTTTGAGGCGCCTCTTTTGAGGAGTCTACTTTTGAGGCGCCTCTTTTGAGGCGCCTCTTTTGAGGAGTCTACTTTTGAGGCGCCTCAAAAGTAGGATCTGGAACCAGATCCTTTGAAACGTGCCATCCAAAGGGTCATTTGGCCACGTCATGTTGTATTCCACGTCGCTGGACCATCCAGCCCTTTCCTCTTCCCTCTACCACTCCCAACCTCCCTGTGCGTCCTCCGTCCTGCTCTCTTCGCTCCCCTTTGCGCGCCTCTTCCCTGCTGGCAGGGCAAAAGGGGCGCCCAGGCGGGGGGCGTGGGGAAGCAGGGATGGCCGGTGATGGGGGGAGTGAGGTGGAGGGGGTGTGCGGGGGACGGGGACTCATGCCACACTGCCTCGGGTGGGTTCCCTGTGGTGCGTGGGTGCTGGGTGCTGGACGGTTGGGTGCTGGACGGTTGGGTGCTGGACGGTTGCGTGCTGGATGGTTGGGTGCTGGATGGTTGGGTGCTGGATGGTTGGGTGCTGGATGGTTGGGTGCTGGGTGCGTGCGTGCTGGGTGCGTGGGTGCTGGGTGGGGTGACTGCACACGATTCGCGAGGTGAATATTGAATCGACACACAAGCCACCACACTAGCACAGCACACTCCTCCCCGGTTGCTGAGAGTGAAGACCACTCTCACACATCACACCCCTGAGCACTCAATCTCCCGACCACAGTGTGTCTGCACCCATCCTCACACCATCACACCCCTGAGCCCTCAAATTCCCAACCACTGTGTTTCTGCACCCATCCTCACACCATCACACCCCTGAGCCCACCCAACCTGTCCATCTGAACTGAGGAAATGCACTCTCGCATCCCCATCCGTCCCTTCCCCACCCCCTCCTGTCTAACGGTATACATCTGTGCCGTGCATGCATCCAGCTAGTCCAGCAGGCGAGGACCGGGGCAAGGGGGAGGCGGAGGGGGAATATCTGATGGTGCAGCTCCGAGGGGGGCTTAACCAGATGCGCGCAGGGGTGAGTGAGCGCAGGGGTGAGTGAGCGCAGGGGTGAGTGGGGCAGCAGAAACAGCCCCCACTGCCCTATCTGCTTCCCCCCACTGCCCTATCTGCTTCCCCCCACTGCCCTATCTGCTTCCCCCCACTGCCCTATCTGCTTCCCCTCACGGCCCTATCCGCTTCCCCTCACGGCCCTATCTTCTTCCCCCGACTCCCTGTTTCCGAGTGACCTTCTTTCCATCTTTTACATTTCCAGTGGCCTCTGTTCCAACGAAGCTGCTGCAGCCGCCATCGTTTATCTCCCCAGCCCGTCCTCCTCCCTGCCCTTCCCCCTCTCTTCATCTCCCCCGTGGTGGTGGCGAGGATGCAGGCGCCATCCCCCCTTCATCTTCCCACCCCGTCCTACCCCCGTGCCTTCCCCACCCCGCATCCTCGCCTGTGTGCTGGCAGATCTGCGATGCAGTGGTGGTGGCGAACATGCTCGGGGCGACCCTGGTGCTGCCGCTGCTTGATAACTCCTCCTGGTGGGCCGACGGCAGGTGAGGCACACGCTGGGGGGTGATGGCATGATGGGAGGTGATGGCATGATGGGAGGTGGGTGATGGCATGATGGGAGGTGATGGCATGATGGGAGGTGATGGCATGATGGGAGGTGATGGCATGATGGGAGGTGATGGCATGATGGGAGGTGATGGCATGATGGGAGGTGATGGCATGATGGGAGGTGATGGCATGATGGGAGGTGATGGCATGATGGGAGGTGATGGCATGATGGGAGGTGATGGCATGATGGGAGGTGATGGCATGATGGGAGGTGATGGCATGATGGGAGGTGATGGCATGATGGGAGGTGATGGCATGATGGGAGGTGATGGCATGATGGGAGGTGATGGCATGATGGGAGGTGATGGCATGATGGGAGGTGATGGCATGATGGGAGGTGATGGCATGATGGGAGGTGATGGCATGATGGGAGGTGATGGCATGATGGGAGGTGATGGCATGATGGGAGGTGATGGCATGATGGGAGGTGATGGCATGATGGGAGGTGATGGCATGATGGGAGGTGATGGCATGATGGGAGGTGATGGCATGATGGGAGGTGATGGCATGATGGGAGGTGATGGCATGATGGGAGGTGATGGCATGATGGGAGGTGATGGCATGATGGGAGGTGATGGCATGATGGGAGGTGATGGCATGATGGGAGGTGATGGCATGATGGGAGGTGATGGCATGATGGGAGGTGATGGCATGATGGGAGGTGATGGCATGATGGGAGGTGATGGCATGATGGGAGGTGATGGCATGATGGGAGGTGATGGCATGATGGGAGGTGATGGCATGATGGGAGGTGATGGCATGATGGGAGGTGATGGCATGATGGGAGGTGATGGCATGATGGGAGGTGATGGCATGATGGGAGGTGATGGCATGATGGGAGGTGATGGCATGATGGGAGGTGATGGCATGATGGGAGGTGATGGCATGATGGGAGGTGATGGCATGATGGGAGGTGATGGCATGATGGGAGGTGATGGCATGATGGGAGGTGATGGCATGATGGGAGGTGATGGCATGATGGGAGGTGATGGCATGATGGGAGGTGATGGCATGATGGGAGGTGATGGCATGATGGGAGGTGATGGCATGATGGGAGGTGATGGCATGATGGGAGGTGATGGCATGATGGGAGGTGATGGCATGATGGGAGGTGATGGCATGATGGGAGGTGATGGCATGATGGGAGGTGATGGCATGATGGGAGGTGATGGCATGATGGGAGGTGATGGCATGATGGGAGGTGATGGCATGATGGGAGGTGATGGCATGATGGGAGGTGATGGCATGATGGGAGGTGATGGCATGATGGGAGGTGATGGCATGATGGGAGGTGATGGCATGATGGGAGGTGATGGCATGATGGGAGGTGATGGCATGATGGGAGGTGATGGCATGATGGGAGGTGATGGCATGATGGGAGGTGATGGCATGATGGGAGGTGATGGCATGATGGGAGGTGATGGCATGATGGGAGGTGATGGCATGATGGGAGGTGATGGCATGATGGGAGGTGATGGCATGATGGGAGGTGATGGCATGATGGGAGGTGATGGCATGATGGGAGGTGATGGCATGATGGGAGGTGATGGCATGATGGGAGGTGATGGCATGATGGGAGGTGATGGCATGATGGGAGGTGATGGCATGATGGGAGGTGATGGCATGATGGGAGGTGATGGCATGATGGGAGGTGATGGCATGATGGGAGGTGATGGCATGATGGGAGGTGATGGCATGATGGGAGGTGATGGCATGATGGGAGGTGATGGCACTTACTGGGGAAAGAAGGCATGATGGCATGCTGTCTGCTTGATTACTCCTCTTGGTGGGGCTAATGGCAGGTGCGGGACACCCTGGGGAGTGATGTGATGGAATGATGGCAGTGAGACACTCACTGGGGTGAGACACTCACTGGGGTGAGACACTCACTGGGGTGAGACACTCACTGGGGTGAGACACTAAAAAACACACCTTTCCATCCAATCACCCCCCCAACCCCCCCCACGAGCAGCACCTTCTCCGATGTCTTTGACGCGCCTCACTTCATCCGCACCCTCGCCCCCTCAGTGCGCGTGGTGCCACGCCTACCTGCCACGCTCAGAGACCTGCCCCCTGTCGTGCGCACCGTGCCCAAAGCCTCCTCGCCGGCCTATTACCTGAAGCACGTGCGCCCACTTATCAGGTGCGTGGCCTCAAACGCCTTCATTTGACCCCTCATCAGGTGGGTGGGGGGCTGTTGGGTCGCCTCAAATCGTTCCAGTGCGGGTAGTGCCACGCCTACCTGCCACGCTCAGGACCTGCCCCCTGTCGTGCGCACCGTGCCCAAAGCCTCCTCGCCGGACTACTACCTCAAGCACGTGCGCCTGCTCATCAGGTAGGTGGGGTGGGGAACTGTTGGGTTTTCCCTCGGTCCGTGTGGTGCGCTCAGGGACTTGCCTCCAGTGGTGCGCACGGTCCCCAAAGCCTCGTCTCCGGACTACTACACCAAGCACGTGCGGCCCCTCATCAGGTGGGTGGGTGGCTTTCAGGTTGCCTTAAACCTCCTCAGTGAGGGTGGTGTCACACCCGCCCACTGCGCTCAGAGACCTGCCTCCAGTGGAGCGCATGGTGCCCAAGGCCTCCTCGCCGGACGTGCCTGTAGGGACCTACAGGAAGCACGCACAGCCCCTCATCAGGTGTGTGGGAAGCCACTCGCCGCCTTAAGTGCCTGCTGTACGACTGGTATCCCACCTTTCCTTTGTTAACCTGCCTCCAGTGCTGCGCACGGTGCCCAAAACCTCCTCACCAGGCTATCACCTGAAGCACGTGCGCCCCCTCATCAGGTGGGTGGGGGGCTATTGGGTTGTCATCTCTTTTCAGAAGGCTTCCGACTCTTTTATCAGGTGTGGGAAGGAGGGGGCTGTCATCAGGTGAGGAGGGGGGGGCGGGCTCCAATCTTATTACATATCCCCAGTGCTGCACTGCCACTGTCCCTGCCAACTTCCCCCCCCGCTGCCCACTCCTCCCTTCTCTCCCCGCCACGGCCTTCCTCCCCGCATACCGTCGTCTCTCGTTGAGCCCACCACAGGAGGGCGCAGGTACTGACGCTGAACCACTTCAAGTTCAACCTCAACTACAGCCTGCCTGCACCCCTGCAGACGGTAAGAAAAGCATCAACCGTCACCAGGGGCTCGCAGGCACTCACAATAACCCGCAAGGCACATGGCGATCTGAGATCCTCTAGAGTTCACACACTGCTTGAGTTCACACGATGTGTAACACACACCAGCTGTGCTGACGACTTTGATGCGTTGATCCATGGGACACTCAAAATACTCGTGTCCTGTCTCCTCTCTGCCATCCCCTTTGGGCCCCTGCATGAACTTCACTGTTGGTCAAACTACAAGGCGCTTTGAGTAATCTTACAAGGGAGCAAACTTGCTTCTCCTCCCCCATCGCATGCTGTGCTCCTTCTCCTGCCGTTCTACCTCCCCATCTCTGCCGTCCCTCCTTGTCCCCATCAGCTGCGCTTTCAAGCCAACTACGAGCCACTGCGCTTCGTACCGACAGTCACTCGAGCCGTCGCCCTTCTCTCCCCCCCAGCCATTTCCCTTTATCCCTCCCCCCCCTCTTCTTCCCCCCTTTTCCCTCCAACCAGCTGCGATGTAAAGCCAACTACGAGGCACTTCGTTTCGTACCGGCAGTCACTCGAGCCATCGCCCGTCTCACCCGCGCCCTCACCCACCCCTCCCCCCTCGCCGCCTCCGCTTCCATTTCCCCTGGCTCTTCTGCTGCTGCTCCTGCTAGTGCTTCCTCTCCTGCGTCTGCTGCTGGTTCTGCTGGTGCCACTGGTTCTGCTGGCGCTGCTGCTGCTGTGACAAGTTGCGGTGGTGAAGGGGCAGGGCATGGGCCACAAGTGAAGAAAGAGCAGAGAGATGAGAGGGAGGTGGGGATGCTGACGGAGGGGAGTGGGGAGGCAGTCAAGTATGTGGCGCTGCATCTCAGGTGAGATGGGCATGGGAGGTGAGATGGGCATGGGAGGTGAGATGAGCATGGGAGGTGAGATGAGCATGGGAGGTGAGATGAGCATGGGAGGTGAGATGAGCATGGGAGGTGAGACGAGCATGGGAGGTGGGATGAGCATGGGAGGTGAGACGAGCATGGGAGGTGAGACGAGCATGGGAGGTGAGATGAGCATGGGAGGTGAGATGAGCATGGGAGGAGAGATGAGCATGGGAGGTGAGACGAGCATGGGAGGTGAGACGAGCATGGGAGGTGAGATGAGCATGGGAGGTGAGATGAGCATGGGAGGAGAGATGAGCATGGGAGGTGAGACGAGCATGCTAATCTTTGTGATTCACGTACATTACGGAAATTGTTGTTGCCGCTGTATTTTATAGCTGCTGTGCCTTATTGCCACCTTGTTTTACACATATCCACCACAATTCCCTTTCCATGCATTCATATCTCTGGATGACATCCCATGCACTTTTCTCTCTCCATGCCATGCCATGCGTAGCCCTCCTTTTCCATGCCAGCCCATGCATTACCCTTACCCTCCAGACACCCGCCACGTGGCATGCGAGTGCAGGTATGAGCCTGACATGCTGGCATTCACTCCATGATCATACCTTACCCCCCATCCTCTCTCTGCATTCCACGAGTGCAGGTACGAGCCTGACATGCTGGCGTTTACAGGGTGTGACTACGGCGGAGGGGGGAAGGAGAGGAGGCTGTTTGAGAGGATCCGAAAGAGGTGGCCGGAGCTGCCCAGACAGAACCCCAAGCAGCAGAGGGCCAAGGGCAAGTGCCTTGTCACTCCCTCGCAGGTGCGTTTCGGGTTAAAATTAAAAGGTGGGCGAGAGGAGGCTGCTTGAGAGGATCAGAAAGAGGTGGCCGGAGCTGCCCCGCTTGAACCCCAAGCAGCAGAGGGACAAGGGCAAGTGCCTTGTCAACCCCTCGCAGGCTAGTGTATGGACCATCCAGGCCAGGCAGTGTCAAAATCTTATCTTCCCCACCCTGCTCCTCCTACTCTTAACCTTCCCATCTGCTTGTATGCAGATAATCCCCTTTCAAGCCCGCCTTGCCTCCCCCCCCCCCCCCCCCCACCCAATCCCCCATACGTCCCCACCGCCCACTCCATCCCACCTCACCCCACCCCTTTTTCCCCCCTCACCCTCCCTCACCTTGTTCCCCAGGTGGCAGTGGCTCTACAGGCGCTGGGCTTCCCCCCTTCCGCGTGCCTCTAAATCTTTTGAGGAGCCTCACATTCCCCACTCTATCCCCTCCGCCCCCCCTTTTCCTTCCTCCTCGCCTCCCCCTTCGCCACTGACAAGCACTCCCCTGCTCCCTCCCTCTCTTCCATTGCTCCTTATTGTTCCTGCAGGTGGCAGTGGCCCTAAAAACGTTAGGCTTCCCCCCATCTACCCGCCTGTACATCGCCTCGGGTGAGCTCCACGGGGGGTCCTCTGCGCTGCAACCTCTCCTCAAGGCCTTCCCCTTTGCCACTGACAAATACTCCCTCGCTCGTTCCCTCGCTCCTGCTAGGGGGAAGGAGGGCAGGGTGGCCGACAGGGATGTGTCAAGTAGTGCAGGGGGAGAGAGTGGAGCTGCGAAGGGTGCAGCTGTAGAGTGGGGAAGGGGGGGCGATGGGGGAGGGGGAGTGGGGCGAGGGGTATTGGAGGGGCTGCAAGGGAGGAAGACGCTCCTAGCGGCGGTGGACTATGAGATGTGCCGGCGAGGGCACATGCTGGTGCTGAACAACAATGGCAACATGGCTCACTTGCTCTCTGGACATAGAAGGTGCGGTGCAGAACGGTGGGGAGGGCAACGGTATTAGGGAGGCAGGGGCACATGATGGTGCTCAAAAACAATGGCAACATGGCTCACCTGCTCTCCGGGCACAGAAGGTGTGGCTTAGAACGGTGTAGAGTGGTGGGCTATAGGGCAATGGTTGTTGAGTGATGGGGGGAAGGGGTAATGCTTCTAGCAGCGGTGGACTATGAGATGTGCCGGCGAGGGCACATGCTGGTGCTGAACAACAATGGCAACATGGCGCACCTGCTCGCTGGGCATAGAAGGTGCGGCTTAGAGTGGTGGGCAATGGTGTTGAGGAAGGTGGCTAGAGATGCTGATCCTCAACAATAATGGCAACATGGCGTACCTGCTTTCGGGCCACAGAAGGTGCGGATTCGTATGGGTGCTGAGGGGTTGGGACAGGTGGGAAATGAGGGGGGTGGGAGATGTGGGTACATACTGGTGCTCAACAACAATGGCAACATGGCTCACCTGCTCGCCGGGCACAGAAAGTGCGGTTTAGAGTGGTGAGCTACGGTTTATAGAGGGTGAGAGGGGGGGGCAGGCATATGCTGGTGCTCAACAACAATGGCAACATGGCTCACGTGCTCGCGGGGCACAGAAGGCGTGGTTTGGAACAGTGGGCAATGGTGTTGAGCAGTTGGGATGGGTGGGGTGGGTAATGGAGTTGAGGGAGGCGGGGGCAGATGCTGGTGCTCAACAGAAAGCCCATCGGTTGGCTGCGAGCACCACATGTTTGCCTCATCAGAAACACCCCCGCCCATTCAATCGCCCTCCTCAACCCCCATATCTCCACCTTAACATCAGGTATGACGGCATGGTTAGCACGGTGCAGCTGTTTGGCTCCTCCATCCTGCGCCTCCTCGCTGCCATCCAGCAAGGCGATGTGAAGAGCTCTCCTATATCCGTGTCCTTCTAATATCCAGTCCAACACCCATCTCCCAATTCCCACCCTCCAGGTACGACGGGGTGGGAAACACGGTGCAGCTGTTTGGTTCCTCTATCCTCCGCCTCCTCGCTGCCATCCAGCAAGGCGATGCCAAGAGCGCTCACAAGCTGCGCAACCAGACGCTCAGGGGAGACGACAGCAAAGGGAAGGCCGCAGTAAGAGGAAGCTTCTATTCGTTTCCCCGGGAGTGCTTGTGTGAGAGATCGGATCATGTGCCTGCCGGTATTTATTCATGAGGCCGTGTTTGTGTTGGTCAAAGCAGAGGGGAATGGTGCAAAGGCAGAATGACTGGCCAGATGCGGATGTGTATTATAAGACCGAACGCTTCGGAAAAGTCCTGATTTCCTGTATATGTATGAAACCAATTGATCACTTGGATTGGAAACATGTACAGTATGTACAATAAAACACATACCTATTATGTACCATTACCGTTGCAGTGGCCCGAGTTGGTGGAGCTATTAATACAAGTCCCGGGTGCAGATTTATGTTGGTTAGGCACATATCTATCGTGACCAGAATCTTGGGAGAACATCATCCAAGCTGAATATGTATCCTAAGTGTGTGTGGTGTAAGTGGATCTGGTACCAGGTTAAATTGAAACACTGCATCAAGTTCAGAAATGAACATTTCACAATATCATTAAAGCTAAACATACTGGTACCCTATAACCGTACCATATCTAGGACTATCTCTAACCAGCCACACCAGCCTCAACCCTTGAACAAGCGGACAGATTAGAGCTAACACGAAGCAATGCAGCAGCAAGGCAGCGTGCACCCATCTCCTTCCATCCACCAAATCCAACCAGCATCCCAAACACCCTGACAGGCAGGGTGCAAAAAGTGTTGCTCCTCCGTTCTCTCCCACTCTCCTTGCCTCACCCCACCGTCGCGCCACACCAGCTGCATTTCCCCCTGCTGCTGCCCCCTTCCCTCCACAATAACCCTCGCCTCCCTCTCCTCCACCCATCACGCTCACCACCACCTCCCACTCCTGCTCTTCCCCGCGCTGCTCCCCCCGCTGCCCCCGAAGGTGGGGTGGTTGCACACGTGCGCCATGGTGAGCCTCTCCTCCGCGCGCACTCTCAGCATGCCGCTCACCAGCGCGCGGCATTCCTCAGACACGCCCTCCCACGCAGCCCCATCCACACGCGCCCGCCACTCCTGCTGAGGCGCCTCCCCTGAGTACGGTCGCTCGCCCGCAATCATCTCGTACAGCGTCACCCCCAGCGACCACACGTCAGCTGCGCGCCCATACCCCGCTGCCTCTGCGCTTCCTGCCTCTGCTCTCCCCGCTGCTTTTCTGGCGTGCTTGGCGGGCGGGCAGCGAGGGCGGCAGAGAGCCTCCACCTCAGGTGCCATGTACCCGGGCGTGCCTGCGGGAGTGCTGCACCCGCGCTGCCCCTCCGCTACCACCTGCGCCAACCCAAAGTCCGCCAGCCGCACTGCCCCGGCGGCCAGGCGGGGGGAGGTGCGCGCTGAGGAGACGGGCGCGGACAGGCTGAGGGCTGCAGGAGAGGCGCGCGCAGGCGCAGCAGGAGCAGCAGGAGCAGCGGCGGCGGAGAAAGGCAGGGGCGCGGAGAGGGGCGTGGGCGATGTGAAGAGGATGTTGTCGGGCTTGATGTCGCAGTGCACCACGCCTCGCTCGTGGCAGAACGCCACGGCGTCGCCCACGTGCTTCACCACTTCCAGCGCCTCCGCCTCCGCCATCCCCCCTCCCCGCCCGCCTTCCCCGCTCGCCTTCCCCCACCACTGCCTCCCCTTGCCTCTCCCCGCGTCCCCCGTGCTGCTGCTTGCGGCAGCCTTGCGTCGCTGCAGCAGGGCGCGGAGGTCGCCGCCATGGCACACATCGGAGAGCATGTACGCGTGCTGGTCGGCCAGATGCACCTCGCGCACGCCCAACACACCCGGGCACTCGCTCAGCGACGCCGACAGCATCGCCTCGTTCGACGCCGCCACCAGCTGCTTGCGCTCCACGCGCTTCACCGCAACCACCTCGCCGCTCTCCACGTGCCGCATCGCCATCACCGTGCCGAACCCGCCGCGCCCTAACTCGCCGGCTGCCTCGAACAGGTCGGGGTCGAGCACGCCGTCGTACGCGCTCAGCACGAGCGGCCGGGGGCAGGCGCGCGGGGCAATGGATGTAGCAGCGGCGCGGGAAGCGGGAGGTGCATGGACTGCAGCCGGCACCGGTTTCGCGGGTTTAGCGACAGCAGCGGCAGAGTCGCCGGAGCTGGAAAGCGACGAAGCGACGGACGAAGCCGAGAGGACTGACGAGGCGACGAGGTCAACTTTGACCGGCGTGGGTCCCGTTGACGAGGTCAACGCCTCGGACGGCGCGTACCACGATGCGGTGACGAGACCTGCCAGCACAAACGCGGAGGAGAAACGGTTGGCACTTGCGTGCTAACCTAACTCTCTCTCGCGTGTACCTGAAAACACAGAGAGGTTTCCTGGAAAGAGGGAGAAAGAGAGAGGTAGAAAAGGGGGGTCGAGGACCAAGGCTCGCGTTATTTTCGACGAAATTGTCAGGTAGGAAAGGGCGGTTGAGAAGACGAGTGCGACTAAGCTTCCCCTCATGAAAAGGTCGGTTGCTCACCTTCCAACTTAATATCGTGTTCCTGCGCTTCGGTTCGGCCTTCGCTGATCGATTTCGCCAACGACTTGCATGAGAAGGCGGTACTGTAAACTGACGGCTGGGCCATCCAGATGTCCATGGCGAGGAGCGTAAGTAAGCGATTGATAGCTACTGGTGACGAATCTCGCACTGTTTCAGAGAATGATACTTGTAAGGCTCTCGAAGTCTATTTGAGACTGTGAGATGGTCACAACAAGGAAGCAGAAGCTAAAAAAATCGAGGAGGTTGTGTTGTGTGCTGTGCACTGAGCTAAGAAGTGGCATCAAATGGCTGGACTTGTATTGCAGGCAAACAGCCTGCACAAGAGAGCATGGAAAATGGACCTGGGGGAGTGAGGTGGATGGGAGAGCGGCTCGACTGCTGGCGATGACATCGCTGCAGGAGCAAAAGTCGCCCGAGCAAAAATCACGCGGCCAACTTCGATTATGCCTGAAGCGGTTTGCAAACGTAATCAACCAGCAATTTCGCAGTACAGTAACTAAAAATGCTGTTTCAAATATTTATTAGCACAATCCTGAAACAATGTCGCCACCAGCAGCTCCGCACATACCCGACAAAAAAGGAAACATACTAAAACGCTTGGATAACCAGGACGGAATTCGGAAATATTAACCCTAAATACGGGAAGTCGTCAAGTATTTATGCTTGAATAAACGACACCGCCCAACGGAGCCTGCTACCCGCGGGCAATAAAAATAAACCTCCTGCTAAAAGGAATCCAGTCAGGATGGCATTAACCCTAAACACCTTGTCGCATGATGTTTAGAATTGATGTCATCCGAGGGGGTTTTAATCTTCTTTCGTACGAGGTCAAGAGGTCCATGGTCGACGGAGGGTTAATGGTGCCATCAACCCTAATCCGTTGATTTATCCCGAGTCTGCATTCTTTTTCCCAATGGGTGTTTTTTTATCTTTGCGCAATTCGCGCTTGATGCAATTTTTAATGGGTTAAGTATTCAATGTTTTTTCTGTTTATTCTTAGGTAGCACCTCGACACATTTGTGCACATTTGAGTTCGGTAATTGCGTTTTGTTTCTGTTACATCTCGGCGGTGTTATTAGCATGAAAAGTGTGATTGAAAAAAGAGCGCCAATCAGCGAGGATAAATTGAGGTTGAGTATCGATGCAAAAAGTCTCTGGCATAATTTGAGTATCAATGAAGTTGGCCGAAAATCACGGCAACATACCACTTTGAAGTATGCCCGAACCTGTCAAGGCTCGTCACGAACCAAGCCTCACCACAAGATGTGCTTCGCCAGAATTTCGCCTACCATTTCGCTAGGCTGGTCAGGGCGAGAATCGAGCTATGCCAAGTTCAGGCTTCAAGCGTGATTGGTTCCAAACTTCTTGCCGAACCTCAATTAGGGGTTTTCTGAACCTAGAACTCACCCGTTGACTCCGTTGTCCACAAGTCAGGTTTGGCGGGAAGACCAAAACACCGACCGATAGACTCGCGCGGTTCGCGAAACGCTTCACAACAAAAACTCTACACCTGTTACACATAAGCATGACATTTTCAATAACAAGCATAAGCTCACCTACCTTGAACAGAATGATAGCATTTGAAGAATTGAAACACACATATTTTCTTGCATTTCGATATTTAATTGTAACATCCTTTACAACATACGGCACGAATGATTCGACTGATAATAAGCCTGTCAGATATGTTTCAGCTCAGAGCAACAATTTTTTAAAAGGTCTCCTCAGTATCATCCAGTTGATGTCCAGTTGTTCATGTGGATTGGGACAGCGAGAACCAGGGCTGACGTTTCGTTTTAGGACTCCCTGATTCCGGTAAAAATTTTGCCCCTCTATTATGAGGGCACATTTTTCGCAAGGTAGCTACCCTGATAGCTCTGCGTCACACGAAGTCCAACTCTGACCGGACAGGGTTCACAACGCAAAAACAGGGTTGCTATTAACAGTGCACTATTTTCCAAAATGATACAACTGCATGCACTTTCCTACTCTATCTAGTCTAGTGCACGGGCTTGTCTATGAAGTACACCTCCTCCACATCCTCATCGTCCGACAGGAATGGATGGTCTTCCGCTTCCTCCTCCCCCACGATCTCCTGATCGTCGCCGAAGGCCTGTTCCACTTCATCGTCGTCCTCCTCCTCCCCCTCATCCTTGTTCTCCCCGGCATTTCCAGCAGCCACATCTTCACCCTCCTTCTGCTTCCCCTTCCTCTCCCTCTTTGCCACAGCCAGCTTCAAGCTCTTCGCAGGGCGCCTCCTCCGCAGGGACCTCCACACCTCCAGTGCCTCCGGCCAGTCGATCTCATACTTCAGGAGCGATATCTGCATTAGCTCCCCCAGACGCGCGTTGCACAGCGCTCCTCGCACCCAGGACTTGATGACGTTCTGCCTGGAGAACCCCCTCTCGCACTCCACGGTGGAGAGGGGGAGCACAGCCAGCGCCTGCCACAGCAGGATGAGGTTGGGCCATCTCCTGCCAGGCACATTCATACACACAACACAACGGAAACAGTTAGCGATGCGCAACAAGATTGTAAAACCCATGTTAGCAAAGTATAGGCTACCTCTTGGAGTCTGCGCTCCCAAGGAAGTTGGACAGGCCCTGGGTGAAGCTCTCCATCTCATTGTGTGTCTCCATGATCGTGCGGAAGGTTGGAAGCTCCCTCTCTGCTGCTTTGAGGTCGAATCCCGGCAGCTTGTTGCGGAACAGCCTGCTGCATCCGTTCAGCCACTCCTTACACTTCTTCTCTCGCTGGGCCTTGATCTTCGGCCACTTCCCCGCCCGGAACAGCTTCGTCGGCCCCAGCTTCCCAAGGTCATCCAGTCGGTCGTTGAGGTTGTCTACGCAGTCACGGGCGAATTTGCGGCACAGCTTCACGCAGTCTGCGTAGGTGCTTCCGTGTTTGTGCCCCTTCAGCTTCCGCTCATGCATGGTGTACAGGTGGTTGATCGGGCATCCAGCACCGTCCACGCCGCGCACCCGGGCCTGCTTGCCTCCACCCTCCTTGTGGACTTTGAGGAAGTTCACCAGCCAGCTCTTCCCTTCGCCCCCGAAAGCTTTCTCTGGCGTCAAGTAGCGCTCCGTCAGGTCACTCGTGGTGGACTCGATCGTCTTCGCAATCTCAGTCACGTCCAGCTGTGTCAGAGCAGGGGTAGACAAGAGGGAGAAGGATGAGCAACAGTGCAGTTACGAACCTCACGTAGCAACATCATACAAACATGCGACCTCACCTCTCGTCTCTGGAAGCAGCGGTTGAGGTCGTTCATGTCCGCCAAGATGTCGGCCAAGAAAAACAAGCAGAACTGAAACTTGTAGCAGGTGACAATCTCGTACGCCTTGTGATTGTGCTCCCAGAGCAGCACGATGCAAGCGCTGAGGACCTTGCACAGCCTGGCCACCGCATCTCCTCGAGAGAGCCACCGCACCGTGTGGATGCCTTGGACTTCCAGGTTGGTCTTGTAAATCACACGCTGCAGGTACTTGAACCGCTGACTCCATACGCTGGAGTTTCCGAGCAGCGTCGCCACAGTGCGCACCACCTTGTCGACCATGCCGAGATCCGGGTTTGAGTCAGCGGCGTCCTTCACCGCCAACGCCTCACTGTGAAAAGCAGGGAACAAGTATCATGGTTTGTTAGTAAACCAATCAGCTTAGATAACCTGCTACAATACAGACCAACTCACATACCGATGGGCAATGCAGTGGCATGAGAACAGATGAGGGACGTGTTCACGAAGACGCGCCACCAATCCGTTCTCTCTCCAAGTCATGACCGACGCCCCGTCCGTGCTGATGCCGACGATCTTGGACACATCGACGGCAACGGAGCGAAGATGGTTCAGAAGCACCTCAAACAAGGACCCTGCATCACACCGCTCGACCGTCAGCAAAGTGAAAAACTCGCATGCAACTTGGCGGTTCTTCAGAAATGTAAGGTACACAATCATGTGTTTCCCTCGCGTGCGGTCAGTGCTCTCGTCGCACTGGATGCCCAGGAACGGTGATGCCAGGACGTGGTCCATCTGCACCCGGGTGAGGTAAGTTCTCATGCTGTGGACCATCTGCTGGAAGCCGTAGCTGCAACAAAGGACAGAGAAATTATTAGTACACGATAGTCAAGCAAGCTGTTTGACCTGCATGTTTAAATTTGCAATCAAGCTGAAGCGTCACTTACCACGTGAGATAAACGCCGTATGACTGCCGGGGAATGTCTGGCGTGTCCTGCTCCGCAAGATGCCGCATCAGCTTAGGAAACATGCTAATCGGCGCGTCGCACTGGCACAGGAACTGAGTCGACCGCATCAGTCGTATCGCGCGGCGGCCCTCGACATCGTAGTTGATGAAGTCCGAAATCACCTGCTGCCCCTCGCGGATTCCCGCCGCAACCTTCATCTGGCGGTCCACCGCCGCCATGTGTGCGTCCGTATGCTCGTGCGCCCGGAACGACTGCGTCTGCAAGTCACGGCCTCCGTCTTCTCCTTGCATGGCATACCTCGTGTTCCCCTTACCGTACGACATGCAGATGCTGCACTTTACGTACGGGAAACCGTCCTTGGTTTTCCCAAACACAAGCCAAGAGAAGTATCCCGACCACTTCGTCTCGTAATTAATACTCGCCTCCAGGTACATCTGCTCTCGCAGCTGCGCCTTGGTGAGTGCGGGCGAGCCGGTATCCGCGCGCACCGGGATGTCGCCTTCTTCCGGCAGCTCAGCTTCTTTCTGTGCAGGCTCATCGGGCTTTTCCGGCGGTGGAATACGGCGGCCTCCTACCAGCAGAGTACTCTGCGCCCACTTCCCAGATCGCGCACGCTTGGGAGCGGAAGTAGCCGACGGCGGGCCAAGCGACACCCGCACCGTGCTTGGAGTAGGACTGGGCGAGGGCGGTGGAGGATCTTTGCTGCAGCCAGCAACAGCCGGGGGGAGAGTGAACGGGACGGGAATAGGAGAAGCAGTAGGAGTAGGGGTTACTACAGGGGCAGAGTCGTGAACGGTAGACCTAGGCGGTTCAGGTGTGACGGGAGCAGCCGTAGCTCTAAGAAAATCTAGCCCAGAGGGGGGAGCATCCGAAGCTTTCTCCGGCTGGGACGGCGCTGTTGGTTTCGCTGGTACAGGTGGCTCGTCGGGGCCAGTGTCCAGAGCAGCTTCGTCAGCCGGCATGGCCTCCATGGCGGCAAGATTGGTGGCTAAACTGAACGAGAGGAAAATGAGACAATGAATGCACGGAATGGAAAGAAAACACCAGCGAACAAAGGAACGTTGGCTGTTGGTAGGGGGAGGGAAGGGAAGGTTGGAGATGACGGGATTAGCACGAAACCACCGCGCCGCGATTCCACGGACTTGATGGCAACATTCGACGATGAATTCGTCCTTGCATTCAAGGCCGAATTCATTCACGGACTCCTTGGCTGCCACCGCATGGTGTCAACAGGCCGTTTTGGCCAATGGCAGACGCATGCTGTGCACTGTGCGGTGCGCGTGGTAGCACCGTATCATTGATTTGGCTGCGTTGTCGCTGTTGCCAGCTGTGATGTACACCACGTCGGTATTTTCCTTTGTCGGTATTACGTCACTCACGTGCGCGTGGAGGGGGTACCTCACATGGGGCCACTCGAAGAAATGATTACGCACAAGGGGGTTATCGAAACGAAGCTTCTAGGAAACTTCGTCCCGATACCCTCGCATTCAGGGTCCACGGAACGCATACCCTACATAGACAGAGTCCGCAACGACACTACTCTGAGCCTAGTTACAAGAATTCAGAGTCCGTTAAGTAGCTTCTCTGATTGGATCAGAGTTCACAAAATACAAAAACTGAGTTTGCAGGGACCACCAAGTCAGAAGCCTGTAATCACCCTGAAATCAGGGTAATTACCCTGATAAAATCAGCCCTGGCGAGAACAGAAAGATAACGATATGTTAAAAAACAAATGCACTATAAAATGCCAAAATGCTAAATACATCGGCATTCGTAATTGTTGAAACTGAAATAGAGCCAGGGCTGACCGAATGAGTGATTCAATTTTGGTAGACTATTTTTCTAGCTGGCTTCTCTCTTTTATTGCCGATTTGTTAACCGTCATTTCTTGTACATGTCATTTTCCGGAAATCAGTCTTTATGGCGGATCCTTCCTTTCCCCACAGCCTCACTCCCCTCGCTACCTCCTCTCCTGACGAGGCGTCGCGCGTCCAGTTCATGACCAACAACTGACTCATGCGATGTCGCAATAGACGTGACGTGCCACTATCTCCACAGCAGCAACCGTCGTCACCTTAGTAAGGATTTTAGTACCTTAACTGGTAACGGTGTGGATTTCAGCATAAGCAGCTCGAGCAGCAGCAGCGGCAGCAGCAAGTGCAGGCCCATCTCACCAGCAGCAGCAGCAGCAGCAGCAGCAGCAGCATTTCATTCTCGTACCTACCTGGTAGTAACGGCAAGGCACGATGTGGTACTTGGCGTATTTCATGCACCGCCACCTCGACTTCCGCCTCGACGAGCTGCAGTCGCTCGCCGTCCTCGCTGGCGTGCAGCCGCCAGCTCATCACGCCGCGCCACGTCACGATGACGTGGAATTGCAGCCGCCTGCCGGCTCGGCTTTATCTGAGGGAGAGCGGGGCGGAGAGAAGCGGAACGAAGGGGATCGGGTGGTCGAGGGAGTGAGGGGAGACGAAGGCAGCGAGGAGACGAGGCGGGGAGAAGGGGGCAGTGAGATGGAAGGACGGGAGGAGTATGAGATATCAGGGGGAGGCGGGAGTGAATGGGAGCCAGTAAGATGGAGGAAGCCACGTGGCGATCACATGGACTCGCCGTTCTTCTACGTGGATCTGCCGTCTGATGACGTGGCGAGGCAAATTGCCGCTAGAAGTGAGTCGGCGAAGAGATTAACACAATCGCTAGGCGTCGAATAGATATCCGTATCTCAGCCGCATATTAAAAAGGCCATTTCAGCAGCCATTGCTTCGCGAAGGCAGGACCTTCTAGTCCTGAAATCATGGCGTTGTATGCGGTGTCACTCCGAAGCTTCGAGATTCAAATGTTTGCGGTCCGAATTGCGAGCCAGTTTGAGGGTTGACTTTCTAAACTCTGCAGTCGCGGGGAGGGTTTTCCGCATCTGGGGTTTAACGATTGGCTTGTCAAGGTTCAGGGTTTAGGTGAAGAGAATGCGCGCCTCTTGTGGCGCGAAGGAGGGTTTCCCAGGTTGCAGGGTTTTGAAGTTTCTCTTTTCGTCATTCCCATCACTCCCATATATCCATCACTGCCGCGAGTTGCATGGAGGAGAGATTAGGATGCGGGTCGTACAATCTACTAGCTTGCAGGGTTCAGGGTTTCTTTGTTTGCCTGCTGCAGGGGGTTTAGGAGGTCGGGTGAATATGTTTGATTGGCTGACGCCGGAAAAACCCTTCATAAGCCCTCCCACGTGCCATTCCTCCTCATCATCCCATGCAACTTCATCAATTTTCCTTGCCTCCTAAACAAACACTCAGAGACACCCTTTGCCGTTACCTGCTTTGAGATGTGTCCAAACGCCGTTACCTGCTACGCTTGTTCTCCACACGCTCCCCAGTCCTTCCATCCTATCTCCATACCCACCGTATTCTTAGAGACGCAGCCCATGACACTTTCGTCTCCCACCCTCTCTCCTACCCCATCACTAATATCTCAACTCCCACGTCATCATCCTTAACCCCTCACTCTCCACCCCCCCACCCCCCCAGGCCTGCTCGTTGAGGGGATATTCGACATATGGGCGGAGGCACCAACGTTCGAGGCACTAAAGTCGCAGGTCACCACAAAAATCGTGCCCTTCACATCACAGCCCCTGGCTCCACCCACCCTCCTGTTCCTCCTTTTTCCCTTCTCTCTCCACCCCTCCCCACCCGCCCAGGCCTGCTTATAAAGGGGATATTCGACATATGGGCAGAGGCCCCGACCTACGAGGCACTAAAGCCGCAGGTTGAGGCGAACATCACCACCAAGATCGCGCCCTTCACAGCCCCCGGGTCCACGTTCAAGATGGTGGTGGACGGCTTTGGGAAGATTTTCTCCATGGACGAGCAGCGGGAGCGCATGGAGCGATTCACATACATCCCCTTCCAGGTGGGTGGGGGGTGCGTGCGTGTGGTGGTCGGTGTAGGCTGATACTCTCCTCCCCCCCTCCCCTCTCTCTCATGGTAGTGGACGGCTTCGGCAAGATCTTTTCCATGGACGAGCAGAGGGAGAGGATGGAACGATTTGCTTATATCCCCTTCGAGGTGGGTGGGTTGGGTAGATGCGCAGCGCATTGGCCAAGAGGTACATGCGCATTGGCCAAGAGGTACATGCGCATTGGCCAAGAGGTACATGCGCATTGGCCAAGAGGTACATGCGCATTGGCCAAGAGGTACATGCTCATTGGCCAAGAGGTACATTCCCATTGGCCAAGAGGTGCATTCCCATTGGCCAAGAGGTACATTCCGATTGGCCAAGAGGTACATTCCCATTGGCCAAGAGGTACATTCCCATTGGCCAAGAGGTACATTCCCATTGGCCAAGAGGTACATTCCCATTGGCCAAGAGGTACATTCCCATTGGCCAAGAGGTACATTCCCATTGGCCAAGAGGTACATTCCCATTGGCCAAGAGGTACATTCCCATTGGCCAAGAGGTACATTCCCATTGGCCAAGAGGTACATTCCCATTGGCCAAGAGGTACATTCCCATTGGCCAAGAGGTACATTCCCATTGGCCAAGAGGTACATTCCCATTGGCCAAGAGGTACATTCCCATTCGCCAAGAGGTACATTCCCATTGGCCAAGAGGTACATTCCCATTGGCCAAGAGGTACATTCCCATTGGCCAAGAGGTACATTCCCATTGGCCAAGAGGTACATTCCCATTGGCCAAGAGGTACATTCCCATTGGCCAAGAGGTACATTCCCATCGGCCAAGAGGTACATTCCCATTGGCCAAGAGGTACATTCCCATCGGCCAAGAGGTACATTCCCATCGGCCAAGAGGTACATTCCCATCGGCCAAGAGGTACATTCCCATTGGCCAAGAGGTACATTCCCATTGGCCAAGAGGTACATTCCCATTGGCCAAGAGGTACATTCCCATTGGCCACGAGGTACATTCCCATTGGCCAAGAGGTACATTCCCATCGGCCAAGAGGTACATTCCCATCGGCCAAGAGGTACATTCCCATTGGCCAAGAGGTACATTCCCATTGGCCAAGAGGTACATTCCCATTGGCCAAGAGGTACATTCCCATTGGCCAAGAGGTACATTCCCATTGGCCAAGAGGTACATTCCCATTGGCCAAGAGGTACATTCCCATTGGCCAAGAGGTACATTCCCATTGGCCAAGAGGTACATTCCCATTGGCCAAGAGGTACATTCCCATTGGCCAAGAGGTACATTCCCATTGGCCAAGAGGTACATTCCCATTGGCCAAGAGGTACATTCCCATCGGCCAAGAGGTACATTCCCATCGGCCAAGAGGTACATTCCCATCGGCCAAGAGGTACATTCCCATTGGCCAAGAGGTACATTCCCATTGGCCAAGAGGTACATTCCCATTGGCCAAGAGGTACATTCCCATTGGCCAAGAGGTACATTCCCATTGGCCAAGAGGTACATTCCCATTGGCCAAGAGGTACATTCCCATTGGCCAAGAGGTACATTCCCATTGGCCAAGAGGTACATTCCCATTGGCCAAGAGGTACATTCCCATTGGCCAAGAGGTACATTCCCATTGGCCAAGAGGTACATTCCATTGGCCAAGAGGTACATTCCCATTGGCCAAGAGGTACATTCCCATTGGCCAAGAGGTACATTCCCATTGGCCAAGAGGTACATTCCCATTGGCCAAGAGGTACATTCCCATTGGCCAAGAGGTACATTCCCATTGGCCAAGAGGTACATTCCCATTGGCCAAGAGGTACATTCCCATTGGCCAAGAGGTACATTCCCATTGGCCAAGAGGTACATTCCCATTGGCCAAGAGGTACATTCCCATTGGCCAAGAGGTACATTCCCATTGGCCAAGAGGTACATTCCCATTGGCCAAGAGGTACATTCCCATTGGCCAAGAGGTACATTCCCATTGGCCAAGAGGTACATTCCCATTGGCCAAGAGGTACATTCCCATTGGCCAAGAGGTACATTCCCATTGGCCAAGAGGTACATTCCCATTGGCCAAGAGGTACATTCCCATTGGCCAAGAGGTACATTCCCATTGGCCAAGAGGTACATTCCCATTGGCCAAGAGGTACATTCCCATTGGCCAAGAGGTACATTCCCATTGGCCAAGAGGTACATTCCCATTGGCCAAGAGGTACATTCCCATTGGCCAAGAGGTACATTCCCATTGGCCAAGAGGTACATTCCCATCGGCCAAGAGGTACATTCCCATCGGCCAAGAGGTACATTCCCATCGGCCAAGAGGTACATTCCCATCGGCCAAGAGGTACATTCCCATTGGCCAAGAGGTACATTCCCATTGGCCAAGAGGTACATTCCCATTGGCCAAGAGGTACATTCCCATTGGCCAAGAGGTACATTCCCATTGGCCAAGAGGTACATTCCCATTGGCCAAGAGGTACATTCCCATCGGCCAAGAGGTACATTCCCATCGGCCAAGAGGTACATTCCATCGGCCAATCTCCCATTGGCCAAGAGGTACATTCCCATTGGCCAAGAGGTACATTCCCATTGGCCAAGAGGTACATTCCCATTGGCCAAGAGGTACATTCCCATTGGCCAAGAGGTACATTCCCATTGGCCAAGAGGTACATTCCCATTGGCCAAGAGGTACATTCCCTTCCTCGTTGAGCCAACAGCAGCACAAAGAAAGGCAGCCTCTTCTGTTCTCGCTGCGATATGCCCCCTCCCTCTTCCTTGCCATGGCAGGGCCGACTCCCGAGTGAAGCTGAGCTCGCCTGACTTTAAGTTCTGAGTGATAGAGCAGGCGGCCGACGGCACCAACAACCCACTCCCCTGCCTCCCCTCCCCGTTCCCCCGGCCTGCCCTCGATACCCTCTATTTCCCCTGCAATCTCCGCCCTTCCCCTTGCCATGGCAGGGCCGAGTGAAGCTGAGCTCGCATGATTTTAGTTCTAGGTGATAGAGCAGGCAGCAGACGGCACCAACAACACCCCCTCCACCCCACCCCCTCCTTCCGTCCCCCTGGCGGCTCTCGTTACCCTCACTTTAACCTACCTGCCCCAATCATACGTACGCTTGGCAGGGCCGAGTGAAGCTCAGCTCTCCCGACTACAAGTTATAGATGATAGAGTAGGCAGCAGACTGCACCAACAACACTCCCCTCCCCCCATCGACGTACCTCCGTCGCGCAACCTTCCTCCCCTCTCACCCTGCCCTCATTAGCCTCTGTTTCCCCCTTGCTCTTGGCATGGCAAGGATGGGTGAAGCTGAGTTAGCCAATCTACAAGGTCTGGGCAATAGAGCAGGCAGAAGACACCACCAACAGCCTCCACCCTCCCTTCTGCCTGTCCTCCTTACCCTTGATTTTTCCTGTGCCGTCCCCCCTTTAACGTGGCAGGGCAAGGTGAAGCTGGGCTCGCCCGACTACAAGTTCTGGGTGATAGAGCAGGCAGCAGAATGCACCAACAACGGCCTCCCACCCAACATGCCCTTGCGCGTGTTCATTGGCCGAGAGGTGCGTGTTCATTGGCCGAGAGGTGCGTGCGGGGTAGGAGAGGTGCGTGTGAGGGAAGAGAGGTGCCCGTTTGTCGCCCCACTGCAGTTAGTCGCCCCACTGCAGGTAGTCGCCCCACCCATCCCATCTGTCATGGATACAGAGCTACTGCTTTCTGCACTTTCCTGACTGCACAGGGTCGCTGCCCCCCCCCCCCCCCCCTCCTTGGCCCCCCTCCCTCCTTACCCACAGGTAGCCCCTCCCTCCTTACCCACAGGTAGCCCCTCCCTCCTTACCCACAGGTAGCCCCTCCCTCCTTACCCACAGTTGCTGTTGCTGTGCTTCCCCCCTCCCTCCCCCGCCCACTCACAGGTGGCAGTGTCAGACCACACAGTGGCAACAAAGTACGAGCTCAGCCGCCGACAGTACCTTGAAAATCCCCTCTGCTGCCGCACACGTTTCCCTCCTTCCTCACATATCTCCCCCCTCTCAACACTCACAGGTGGCAGTATCAGACCGCACGGTCGCCACCAAGTACGAGTTGAGTCGCCGGCGCTACTTGGGTCCCACCGCCATGGACGCTGAGCTGTCGCTGCTCATGGCCAATCAGGCACTGGCGCGGCGCGGCACGCTCATGTACGACCCGTTCGTGGGGACAGGGAGCATCCTGGTGGCTGCTGCTCACTTTGGCGCCGTCACTCTGGTAAGTGAGAGTTACTCATTATCGCGTACAACATTACAACCACATCAGACTAGTGTGTGGCGCGGCGCGGAGCACTCATGTACGACCCGTTGGTGGGCACGGGGAGCATCCTGGTGGCCGCTTGTCACGTTGGTGAGAGGGTGGCTTGCATGATTCAGGATCACATCCACCCCGGTGAGAAGTGGCATGCAATCGATCCAATCAATCGGGCTTTGGGACGGGAAGGGCTGCAATCCACATTCGAGTCGACTCAAAAGTCAGCTCGCCTCCATTTCCCCCGCTCTCCGACTCCCCTACCACCACCAATATCAGGGAGCGGACATTGACATCCGGGTGGTGCGCGACGGCAAGGGCCCCAATCGGGACGTGTGGGCCAACTTCCACCAGGTGAGCATTCAGAGTGCAGCCATAGTGTGCAGTCATAGCGTGAGAGCATTGTGAGTATTGTGGGCCAACTTCCACCAGGTGAGCCAACTCGCTAGCCCTTGCCACGCTATGGCTCCTCCCCTCCTCTGCTTACACTTGTTGACCCTCTCATTCCCTCATTCCTTGTCTCTCCTTCCGTCTCATCTCATTCCCTCGCCTTCCACTGTATTCTCTTCTTTCATTTTCTTCTTTCTTATTCCTCTCCTTATTTTCTCCTTATTCTCCCGTGCAGTACTCGCTTCAACCACCAGTGGGCTTGTTGCGGGCAGACAACAACTGCCCTCCCTGGAGGCAAGACTTAAGAGAGGTGCGTGTGATTTTTGAGGCCCTAAAAAGAGCCAACTTTCAAGGTGCCTCAAGTGACCTACTAGAGGTGTGTGCTTGAACTTTGAGGACATGTGATGCGCCTCAAAAGCCACCACTGGGATTGCTGCAAGCAAACAACAACTGCCCTCCCTGGAGGCAAGACCTGCGAGAGGTGCGTGCACCTCTTGCCCTCTCCCTGCTCGTCCCCTCTCCCATACGAGCAAGCTCCACTCTCACAAGCCCGTGGGTTCTGAGGGCTTTTGAGGGCCACTTCTCACAAGGTGCGCTCAAGACTTTAATGACTTTTGAGCACCTCTTGCCCTTTTGAGGGGCGCCTCAAAAGTACAATGCTTTGTTTAATCCCTTCCTTCACCCACCTCCAAAGAGTATATTCATATGTGTTACTCCTCGTGGTTTCCCCTGCTATCTCCAGATGTTCCATGCCATGCCATCGTCCCTGACCTTCCCTAGCAGGCGCCCATAAGTACAATGCTTTGCTCGATCCCTTCCTTCACCCACCCACTCGCCTAAAGTATTCCTACTTTTTTTTCCCCGTGGTTTACTCTTCTATATCCAGATGTTCCATGCCATCGTCGGTGACCCTCCCTACGGCGTCCGGGCAGGCGGCCGAAAGTCGGGCGGGAGGAAAATTCTCAACGGGGTGACAGACCCGTACGCCATAGCAGACAACTTGAAAGCTGCCCACATTCCCTCCACCGCCCCTTACTCCCTGGAAGAGTGCCTCCACGATCTTTTAGACACGTCTGCCCGTCTGCTCGTCATTGGTGGGCGGCTTGTTTATTTCTACCCTGCTGCCCGAGAGGAGTATCTGCCCGAGGAAATTCCGGGGCATCCGTGCCTGAAGCTGGTGGCCAATAGCGAGCAGATTCTGACCAAGCGGTGGAGCAGGCGGCTTGTGACTATGGTGAAGGTTGCTCCGTACAGCGATGACATGGCAGCTGCACACGTGGCGGCGCATGAGTGGTTCAGGAAGAAGCAGATAGAGGAGAGTAGGATGATGAGGGAAATGGGGGAGGCAGGGGAGGTGAGGGAAGGGGAGGATGAGGGGAGCAGGGATGGGGATGGGGAAGCGAGTAGTGGGGGAGGTGGCAAGGGGGTGAAGCAGGGAAAAGGGGATAAGAAAGGGGAGGGAGAGAGGAGATCAGGGAAGAATTTTCATGACTTGGTGTTTGCATCGCGGGCAGATGAGGTGGCCGGGATTCACCAGCAGGCATCGGTGCAAGGCATGAGGGACGAGAAGGGAGAGGAGGGAGGACGGGGCACAACGAATGGGGTGCCGCATAGATTATCGCGCAAGGCGGCGAAGCAGGCATCCAGACCACTGTATCGTGCCAAGTGTGTGTGATGGATGGGGGCAATGCGAATGACCTTTGAGTCGACTCAGCGGTCACAACAAATGGGGCCACTCTCAGATCATCATGCAAGGCGGCAAAGCAGGCATCAAGACCACCATATCGCGCCAAGTGTGTGTGAGGGTACAGCGAGGGTGGATGATTTGGCAGGCTGAGTCACCGGCAGGCTTGGGTCGATGCCCATGAGGGTAGGGAGGGTCACAGCGAATGTGCTGTCTTGCATTTCTAGAGAATCCGAGAATCGATTGTGCAGAATAAGCACCGAAGTGATTCACACCATGAAGTAATCCATGTTATTGCTGATTTGATTGTTATCGGTTTGTTACTATATGCAACTTCAGAAGCAGTTGCGTCAGTTTGATGCTCGAGATGTTACGACCAATCAGATATCGCTTTATTGCGCCGGGATTGGGTGAAAGAACTTGACCAGATTCGGCTTGGAAAGCCACACGAGTCACTGACCAACACGTGGTGGCGCCACGGTGTTTACGTTGGCGGTTGCACCTTGTTGTACGGGTAATTACATTCTGGGTAACCAACATCGAGCCCGCTGACGTCAAAAGTCACCTACGTGGCTCGATGGTACCCGTCAGATCATGCGCACCCCTTGGTGGTACCCATCTTCCCTCCGTGGTACCCATCTTCCCTGCGTGGTACCCATCAACTGTGCGTAAATTCCCTGACTGGTACCGCAACATTTCAACCGAGCTGTACACCGTACAACAAGGGTTTCAATGTGATTTTCACTATATTATACCAACGTTTTCTGTCTGCAATTGAACATTAATACATTTGAACATTAATACATTTGAACGTGCCTTACACTGGATAGAGTGCAACCTAGAAAAAATCAACTCCCCTTCTAAAATCCTCACGTTACCTCCGAACCTTTGTAAGCTCACATCACTGAGCGATAGGTAGCGTGAATCTTACGACCATGTTTCTCAGCGCGCAGTTGGTAATCTGAACAAAGTTCATAAGGTTGTATGCAAATAAATTGAGCATGTACCCCCACAGCTAAATAGAAAAGCATAAACAAATAATACGTACATTCGTTGGTTTCTGGAAACAAAACAATACCCATTAATGAAAATCAAATAACCTTAAGTCAATATATATATTACGTGTCAGTTGATCGTTTGTTACACGGATGTTAATTTTTGTGTTTCGGTTGATGCAATATATCTGTGGTGATTTAAATTATAGCACGTTATAATGTGGATGTTTATGAGCCTAAAGAAATCTACACAATAAATGTTTTCCTAAATTCAGCTTTTCTTCTACACTTTATTATAGGTAATGCGCTTGAAAATCTGACCCGATTATGTGGCACTTCGGGCTTCAGACTCTATTGAGCTTGTAAACGTTAAGACAATATAGTGAAAAACGCATTGACACCCTTGTTGTACGGTGTACAGCTCGGTTGAAATGTTGCGGTACCAGTCAGGGAATTCGCGCACAGTTGATGGGTACCACGCAGGGAAGATGGGTACCACGGAGGGAAGATGGGTACCACCAAGGGGCGCGCATGATCTGACGGGTACCATCGAGCCACGTAGGTGACTTTTGACGTCAGCGGGCTCAATGTTGGTTACCCAGAATGTAATTACCCTTGTTGTACAGTATTGCACTATCGCAGTGTCGTCTGTACCAGTAACCTCCTTCCTTTACCAGAAACTTGAACCTTGTTGCTCCTTAGTTGTCTGGCGGAGATGCGCAAAGCGAAGGCTCGAGCGACAGCTCTGGTTTCATGGGGCAGCGTTCTGTCACATTCACTGATAGACAATGTCAAAAGGTAGTGTTCTGTTTGAAGAAATGTGTGCGGGTTCTCTCACCACCTCGCCACTCGTGACGTGGTGCTTCACATTCCCAAGGGTCCAGTCAAACCTATCTGATTTCCATGAATAAACAAACCACTAATAAGAGAAGTCCACTTCACGACTCAGCATCATAAACAGTCTGTGTCCCTCTGCGAGTAATTTTCTATACTCTCCTCCGTCAAGCCCCTTCCTCACGCTATCCTGTTTTCTCGCGTATACCATTCGCTGCCGTGCTCTTTCCGCCTCATATCCTCGTTGGAGATTCGCGATTTTAGCTTGAAGGCGAACATTCACATCGCGTGGCAGTCCATTCCGTGGGTGAGCTCAGTTAGGACCGAAAAAAATGCGACAAGGCGCCATGGTGACTCTCCTATGTTCTGCTTCGCTAAGGGGTCATTTTATGCTCTCCCTTCTCTCTTTAACCCCTTTCATGCGTTTCTCGTCACCTACGTACACAAGACTCCCTGCCAGGTGTGCGCTGAGCTGAACGCTCGTTCATCTAGGCACGTTGAGCGCTCCAGGCACATTGAGCGCCTAAGTGACTTCACGCCAGGTTGTTACAGTCCGTCTAAAGTGACATGTGTGAACGTTGTTGCAAGTCTCTTCTAGCCTGTGGTGTAGGCCAGGCTCTTATGCGTAAAGAAACAAGGAACTGTATAACATCTACGTTTGTCAGCCCGTGGGTTGTTTGGTTCACAAAACTTGGGATGCTCCCGGCCCTTGCAGAATCGCACGTTTCTTTTACTTCACTTACATTTCGTAGCTCTCTTTCCTTGGGAATCGTAGCTCTCTTTCCTTGGGAATCGTATTGTCTAGCCCACCGTGAATTCTGAGCCCCTTTGTTTCCTTCTTGTCGTTACTAGGACTTTTTCTTCTCAAGCCGGTGGTTTAGCTCGCTCTCTTCAAGCTCTTCCTTTAGTGAGGTCTCGTAATCTTGAAGCTCCTTCTTTTATCGCAATTCTCATGGTTGTCTTCTGATACCACCCTGCTGTAATTCCACTCTAATTCCACTCTTTATTCGCATCCTATGCGCGTCTGCCTCTAATTACCACCGTTCATCCAATTTTTTACAATCCACGTTGCCACGTTTCCAGAAGAAGGATTTTGAAGTTCATTCGCTGGTAAAAGCTGATGGCTGTCGAAAGGGAAGGGATGAATGGATTGTTTGGAATGTTGAGAGGGGAGTTGGCCGCAGTTAGAGAGGAGCTGGCAAGGCAAAATGACCGAGTACATATGCTGGAGAATCGAAACTTTGTTCTGGAAGGTAAGGTCGAATGGTTGAAGCAAGCACTAGATGCTGTGGGAGAGAGGAGTGTGGCTACAGCCGCTGTGGTGGAAAGGGGAGAGGGAGAGCTGGCTGCAGTGAAGGGGGAGGTGATAGGAGTAAAAGCGGAATTAGTGGAAGCGAAGGGGAAAATGACTGGGGTCAAAGGGGAGGTGATTGGAGTGAAGAAAATTCTGGGAGGAGTAAAGAACGAGGTAACTGAAGTCAAAAGGCAGTTGACTGGAGTGAAGGAACGGATGGTGGAGGTGAAGGGCCAGGCGCTGAGAAGCAGCGGCAAGGCATGCGTTGAGAAGCAGTTGATCGAGCTAGGATCAGCAGTGGCTGCATTGCAGAAGAATGGTGTGACTCAGTGGTCTGGTGAAGAGAAGGGCATGGAGGGGGAGGAGAAGGAGAAGGAGAAAGAGAAGGGGGAGCCAGAGGAGGTAACAGCCATGAGATTGGAGGTTGCTAAACTGAGTAATCGTGTCTGGAAAGTTGTCGCGGAAGTTGCACGCAGCCAGGGGGAAGGCAAGCACACATGGGAGGTAAGAGGGACTCATGCACAGTTATCTTTCTTGTATATCCCTCTCTTTTCAGCACTTTTTGTGCTCTTACTGCTCTGCAGCGACATGTGTTTGGGCACATGCACATGGACATACATTATGTCTGTACCACATGTCTCTGCCTTTTACAACGTTTCTTCTTCGAATGATCTCGTAGGTAAGCAGCAAATGCGCCTCAATTCAAGCAATGTCTTGTGCGTCTGTGTGTTTCTTCCCCCAGAAAGTGCTGTCAGCATGGAGCGCGCACACACCAGAACGGACCTCGTTGGAGCTGAACAATCTCACCACCCTCTCCAACGCCGCTCTCCGCCACGTGCCCAAGATGTCCGACCTGAAAGAGCTCAGCTTAATCGCCTCCTCAGGCTTCGATGCAGCGGGCTTAAAGCACGTGTTCAAGCTGGCAGGTCTGGCAAAGCTTGACCTCCGGCACTCTCCCATTCTGGACGGCCGTACCAAGAATGCCCTGGAAGGCATCAATGCCATGACAGGACTCAAGGATCTCTGCCTGAGCTATACCAAGGTAACTGACGCTGCGCTGCTGCACCTGACAAGCCTTGCCTCGCTCAAAATCCTGTGGCTGCATAACTGTGGGAGCGTCACGAATGCTGGCATGGTGCACGTGGGGAGGCTGACAGGCCTGGAGGAGCTGTATCTCCGGGGCAGTAGGGTCAGGGACAAGGGCCTGCGGCACCTGACCGCCTTAACCAACCTGAAGATTTTCTCTGCGCCGACAGAGCTCGCAGACACGGGCATGGAGCATGTGAAGCAGCTGACGGGGCTGAAGAGGCTGGAGTTGAAGGACTGTAGATTGGGTGAGAGGGGGATAGCGTGCCTGGAGAGCCTACCAGGGCTTGAGAGGATTAAGACTAACGTGGGTACGCTTCTGGCGTTGGACATCGGTGTGCTTCCGGGGGTAGTAATTGCCAAGGAGCAGTGCATTCTGTTTGAGCGCTGATTTTTGAGTTCTGAGTGGTGGATTCTGTTTGCCCTGGTTTTTTTTTGGGGTGTGATCTAAATATGGACTGAAGGTGGCGGAAAGCAGGCAAATGTTGCATCGGTACATGTATGTTAAGCCGTTGTGTATATGCTATGCACCTGAGAATCACTTATTTTTTCAGGCTGACTGACTAGTGCTGCCCTTTCCCCCTGCTGCAGTAACTATAAGAGCAATGGTAACTACCGTACAGTGAGACATTAGAGCCCTCGCTTCTTAAGCACTGTTTGTGTGCCTCCATCCACTTGGTGCACTCCTCCCCGTGCTCCACAATGCACTCGTCCCTCAGCTTCTTGGTTGTCGGACACGCACAGCATACCGTGTCAGAATCTAGCAGCAGGAATGAATGCAT